ACACATATACATATACATATATATACACATACACATATATATATATATACACATACACATATATATACATACACATATATATACACATACACATACATATACACATACACACACATACATACATATATATATATATACACACATATATATATATATATATATATATATATATATACATATATATATATACACACATATATATACACATACACATACATACATACATACACATACATACATACATACATACATACATACATACATACATACACACGCACACACATATACACATCACTTGAATGGCATGTGAGCTGAAAAACGCAAATCATCAGCCTTGTGTCATCATTTTCACAAATACTGAAAGTGTGATCAAAGCAGGTTTCACCAAACCAGTGCGTCTATTGACTTTCTGAGCTGGACGTTAAAAACTATTTGCCTTGAAACGCATAAAAGGAAGGAAAATAACTGCGCAGATTGGTGCAGCACTAAGCTAAATTTCAGTGTTTTTTTTTAATCATTATCTGGGTCAACAAACGCCAGGAGACTGAAGCAGGGACACAGGAGATACGTGCACGAGTTAATGTGTGGTGTTTGAACCAGCTTGACCTTTTCAAGATTCAGTACAACGATACTTTGCTCTCGACACTGGACACGGGGTGAGACAGAGTGAAGACTGGATTGGGAATAGCCACTAGGAAACATGTATAACACCAACAAGCTCTCCTGAACAACTCTTCATATTCTGTATGTTTAACGCGCACAAATATAACTTACAAAGAAGCTTAAAAAAGCTTGAAGTATGAATGTTTCCTGTGTTTTTCTGTGCTAAAGTTTTGCTATTTTGCAATCAATGTGTTAGCAGACAGAATGAATGAGGGGAGGGGGGAGAGAGTTTAGATGTCTATTTGTTTGTGTTCTCTCTGCAAAAAAACTCTGAGGTAATTGGATGGCTTCTCCTCACACAATATCCTCATTTTTCCTCCAAATTCAGAAAAAATGAAACAATCCATCTCTTGAAAACTTGGGTTCATTGATGTGGGATTGTTAATGAGCCAGTGGCACAAGCAGTCAGGTCCCATTGGTGGGACTGCGGGCAGGAACAATTTATCGAGCCGCTCACAATCTCACACATATCTGTGACGCAGAGAGAGAGAGGAAAAAAATGATCTTTGGAAAGTTTCGAGCCGATATATAAAACAGTATGTTCACACAGATGAGACGGAGTCTTCTGCACTGCAGCAACTTAAGAATGCTGTTAAGTATGCAAATATTTGAGTGGGAGAGAAGAATAACGCACCAGAGACACACTATGCAAACCATACACTGCGTGATCCTCTCACAGAGTGGGAAGACTGAACACGTCCATGGACAAAACAGAGCGCAGGAAGGACGAATCTTGTGTCTATGTGGCTCTGCTTACAGAAAGTGTGTGTGTGATACTGCTAATGTGAGGTGGAGATATTCTTACAAAACCTCAAAGACAAAAAACGGATTACAGAATTCATCATAAGCACAGGTTAACTACAGATTCTGTCACACACAGGGGAGGATGTTAGGAAACATTCACTGGTAGTCTTTTACCGGTCTGTGATGGCCCAGGGGTTGAAGCTGCCGACAGACTCGTGAGTCACAACGCGCAGGTAGGCCTCGTAGTCTTCCCGGTACCGCCGGATGTTTCCCAGCATGCCGCCTGGCACAGAGATAACGGTCCCCCTGCTTCGCTCCGCTGGACCTGGGAACACGGTGCTGCGTCTGGGCTGCTGCTCATCTTGGGATGCCTCATCGGTCAGGCTGTTCTCAGAGAGGATGCTGTGTCTGAGAAAAACACAAGAGGATGCTCGTAAAGGCGAGGGTGAAGCCTTCTGGGTAAAGGCCTTCCGAGTGCTGTGGAGAAGAGAAAAGTACTGACGAGGGAGCCAGAATGGAGTGCAGCGCCGTGATTGACCAGAAACACTTGTTGTTATAAGGCTGAGGATGATGAATTTAGGAGAGGTGTCTCTCGCCTGCCTCCTTGATCAGAGTAGAGTAGGGGCTCAGCTGGGCATTTATGATCCAGGCTGCTTGGACAAAATCAGCCTGGCTGTGGCGACAGCGCTCTCGGTGCTATATTTAGTGTTGCGGCGGCTCCCAAAGCAAAGTGCCTCTTTATTGTGCTCCCCAGGCCTCAGCTGAACTTGTTTCTGTTTTGATTCTGGCGGCTGCAAACTGCGGGGAGGCCATAAATATTAAAGTGTCAGCACAGTCAACTCTGCATCCAGTGTTAAAACAGGTCGATTTGCTGTCTGATGGCCGTCTGAGAACCAACGTGGCAAAAGCAACAATGCAGCACTCGGTAAATTCACTTTTCTATTCATGGAGTCGGAACAGCAACCAATTTTTGTGCCACATTCAAAAAAAGGACAACAAACACCATTCAGACATTGTGGCAAAAAAAAAGAAAATGCAAAGACTAACCTTGAATACATATCTGTGAAAAGGAGATTGAACATCTCTGCTGAACATTCCATTCAGCGTGTGTGTGTTCACACCATATGAGACACATCAAACAGGGACGCAGGCTGCGCTGAAGCCGAGTCGAGTTGCTGGAGGATGAATAGCGCGGAGGAAAACGTACCGTGTTGTGGTTTTTCTTTGCGTATTCATCAATGCTCTACTCGGTCATCTTTGATATTCCAGAAGGACAACGTATTGTATTTGACTCATATCAGGCGGCATTGGAGTCATTGTGAACGTAAGGTCGCGACCGGATGCGCGGGGCGTGAGCCATCGCGACCGCAAATCTACCGAGCAGCCGTTCACTGAGCAACGCGGCTTGTTTGTGCCACATGCGATACTTGGCCTGTGAGGACAACAAAGAGACGGTGGAGCGAGAGAGCAGATAAAAAATAAATAATAATACTACATGAAAAGGGTTAGAATATTGCTGAGTGGGGCTTTCATCTTTTCATTGATTCATTTGACCTGCTGATGCGGCTGCAGTTGGTTGTTCAGCATCAGCCGAGTGTGTGTGTGTGTGTGTGTGTGTGTGTGTGGACAATCAGCACCTGCGTCTACGCTTCTCACCATGGATACATAAATCTTATCTGCTGCTCTGCTCTGCTGATGTTTCCACAGATAAAATCTCTCACCCCATTGTCTGTGTGGTTGCTTGATGGCTCTCACACGAGCACAAAAAGCAGCACCGAGGGTTTTGCTGTTTTTGGAAATACTCTTTGGGAGGACAGTGCCGGTGTCTTGTGGCCAGCGATGCACAACGGAAGGGTTGAAATATCGGTGTCACGTAAACAACTACCTTTCTCCCAAATAGCGGAGTGAACCCTCTTCCGAGAGGCCCCGATGTTGTAAGTGGTGACTCATGAGTTAGCCTGAGCAACTGTAAACAACTAAATAAAATCCGCTTTGTTTCATCTTTTACCAAATCAGCTGAGAGTAATTATTTAAAAAAAAATTGCATTCCCCATCAGTCTTCCCCATCGCCTACTATATAAAAGCACCTAAAATAAAGAGGAAGCAATAACCTAAAAGTCATCAAGCAGGACAATCAAAGAAGCGTTAAAAAAATGTCTGTTTTCTTCCTTTGTGTGTTTAAATGTGTGCATATGAGATCCGTTTTCCTGCTGACAGCAGCGGGCTGAGAAATGTGGGTTATGAACAGCCAATCAGGGCTGAGACAACACACATGAATAGCTCTTCACACATTTCGCTGTCACAAACTCTCCAAAAATCAAACCTTGCTATGCTGCTACACCGAACACGACGAGAGGAGCCAACACTGACACACAAACAAACTGCATGTGTGGGCTACTTTCCTTCATGCTGATGCAAGTGATGTTCAAGCAACATGAACGCATTCTGTCGTATCCAAGTTACCCTTTCTCCTAAAGCCCTGTACATTTCATGCTGCACAAAAGTATTGATTACCTGAACTGTTAGCAGGTTTACAAATATCTAGACTGACCTGAAGCTGGCTGCAGTTTCTTGTACCTACCGCGACGTAAATGTTTGTCCCAATAACATTTTTATCATCTGGGAAATGAACTTCTCTTAATGAGGATGCTGTGTTGACTCTGGCACCAAAATAAATCAAGATTGTTGTTCTTGGAGACTTTAATGCAGCTCTTTAGCTCGGGCTGTGGATTTAAAATAACTTTCAAAATCGAGAGGTGAGAATTAATGAATTGACGACATCTTGTATTCTATACTTGTAATAAATTCAGGTCCATTTCAAAAGAGATTTGTTTTCACTTTGACCGACATTTCTTTTCTACTGATCAAAGTAAAAAGAATCCTAATTACATCCACTGTGATTCAACGTGTTCGAAAAGGGAAAACAGAAAAAGGTCCAGCCAGGTGCCAACGCTTTTTAAAGGTAATTTGGACTGAGGATGAAAGCGATGTAGCCGCGTTTGTCTCTGTTTTATGCTGCAGGGATTCATGCCGTTTAAAGACAAAAAAGGAGCTGGCAATCCTCAAATGACTTTGTCCCTGTTGAGAAGCTGCAAGGCTGGATACCTTTGAAGGAAGTAAAGACTTAAAACACCTCCTCAAAAAGACAAAAAAGCGATAGAGCCATTACTTGATGGATGCGCTATGAAGATAGTGTCTACGATGAGTCACAGTGGATGTTGGGGTAAAGTATCCGACGAGGGAACGGAACCCGAGGCCACGGACTTAATTTGGCTAACGCTGCTGCTTGAATTTGTTAAAAGCGCCATCCTGGCTGGCTTGTCTGTGTCAACAACTTCCAGCCCTTACGCTCTCTTTTTCTCCTCCTTCCAAGTTTCTCATTAATTTAAGCAGAAGAGCAGCTGCAGCCAAAGCCCTGGGCAGTGGAGGGTCTCTCTGTGGAGTCTGTAGCCCGAGTCAGGAATAGACGCTGCCCTGGGTACGGCAGCCACCAAGTGACTGTTTGCAGGATGACTAAGGCCTCCCGGTGGGAGAGTGATGATAGGGCAACGACACATCATGTGGAAAAAAACAAAACACTCGCTGAGCATCGTTGGAAAAACATTAACCACTTTACTTTTCATTAAGTTGAGAGGCCTAATTAAACCAATGGTGAATGACTTCCTGTGGATGAGGCTGCTGTAGTTCTTAGCAACAGAAGTCCTGAACTGTAATTAACTAGATTTTTAATGTTTAATATTTTGTCCAAACAGATGGTCATAATGTCATTTAATCGTTAGTATTGTGTTGGGAGCACCGGCTACTTAAAATGGGGGATTAGACCTTTAATTTCAGCTCAGAAGATTAAATAGGTCAAACCTTGATACTGCACTCCAGTTAATATTCTGGGAACACTCCAAAATGTCCCTACTTCCTCTTGAAGATGAATAAAACATTAAGGAGAGGAAGCCATCAGCAAAAGAGAGGTAGAAATGATGTGTTGTATGATTGTAAATAAAAAAAATAAAAAAAGGACGTAGCAACCCACCCGGTCTCCACAGGCTTCTCCAGGACAATATCAACTGCAGAGCTCTGCCCCGGCACCGGCCTCGTGAGCCTAATTGGCTGAGGAGAGGCTGGCCTGGAGCACGGAGCATGGCACTGGGGTCCTGGGAAGAACAGATAGGAAGGAGGGAGGGAGGGAGGAGAGGAAGGGTAGAGGTAGTGTGTGTCGAGAGGGATGGAGTGGAGCAGGGGGCGGACAGATGCACAAAGCAAGCAGAGCAGAGAGTCAGAATGAGAAGTATTCGCCTACTCAGTTGTAGCGCTGTCTCCACCTACAGGACACATCAGGGAAATCCTCTCTCTTCATGCAGTTACAGAGCATAAAGAGGAGTGTGTTTGTGTTTAGGCTTTTATTTACCTGCTGCTCCTGGTCTGTCCCAGTAAAGAGGGTCCGAGTAGGTGATGGAAGCAAACCGTCTCCTCACTTCTTCCTGGTCTCTCTGCTCAGAAACAAACAGATAAATGCACATTATAAACAAACTGTCCGCCCGCCAGCAGACACTGCATCAGTAAGCAGCACCAGACCGACGCTGTCACAGGAGTGCTCTATAAACATCAGCCCCGATCACTGGGGACCTTTTCGAGGCTCCGCGCTGACCTTCTGTCGCCGGGCCCTTTTTCCTCACCTGTATCTCCTCCATACGAAGCAGCATACTCTCCAGGGTGGGGGCCCGCAGCCTACGCCGGGCCATGCCCTCAAACTGTCCGTCTGTCTGAGCCGCCCACGCTGCCCGCGCAGTGTCCTCCAGCAGATCCTCCAGCAGCGCCTCACTCAGCTGCTCAGCACTCCCTGCTGCCTGTGGAGGGAAAACATACACACATGATACCAAATTCAAACTTTATTCAATAGCAAGGCCAATTTCCCCTCTCCCCTGGGAAGTATTGGCAACCCGCAGCGCAGCTCACCGTCTCTGCCGCCTGCTCAGACAGCCGGATCCTCGGCGCGGGGCTGATCCTCGTCCTGGACTCACCGATCTGCTGAAATAAACAAACTCAGTCCCACCAATCAAGCATCATTTACTTCCTCTCAGTCTATAGAAACAATACCGCGACTCAAACAGTCACATTTTATTTGACTTTTGTTGTGTTGTATTGATTGTTCCCCATCTTCATATAAGGCGACGTATAAAAGGAAGGAAAGGGAAGTAAGAGTCCGTCACTGCGCAGACAACAGATGAGTCTTCGTACCTGAGCTTCATCCAGAAGCGGCTGAATTCCTTCTCTGGCCTTCTGCTCAGTTCTCTCAGCCCACTGAGTTGGCGAGACAACTTCTGACCTGTAAACCAAAACACACCCACACTGCGAGCTGTCACGGAAGTTATATAAAGCCTTCACACATTTTAACTGGTTTTCAAGCTCGATGGTGGTTCTACACAAAACAGCAGTATTTGTCAGGCTTGTTGTTTGCATAAATATTCACATTTACTGCGAAAACCAGGTCAAAACCATCAAACTATCCCCCCTCGGCATAGAGGCAAACCTTGTGAACACTGAAGTGAATTCATCCTGGTTGATTTAACTGTAGAGGCTGATGAATTTATTCGCACACTTACAACGACTCCAGCTGAGACAGACTTATTTCAATAAGCATCAATACTGTAAAATGTAGAGGCCTGCAAACATCGTACACCAGGCCATTAGTCTACATTTCTTTCTAAAACATACAGTGATATATTATCGTTTGTTATTGTGAGTTCATAGACTCATAGCAGCCATCATCATTATCAGAACAGACCTTTTACCTCGTCATAGCAACAAATACCCAGCTGGAACTAATAATATTAACGATGGTGCTATTCCATTAAGGTGTCCCAATAACCCACTACGCAAAAAAAGAGCCTTGGAACTGGCCAAGTTCAGTCCTCTTGGCTGTTTCGGAAGCATGAAGGACAAACCCGCACATTTGCTCTAATTCAATTAAAGTTTTATGCACCAAATGTTGACTTCAACTCATGCACTGCTCACGCTGCGTTTTGTTGCTGGCCTTGCAGCATTAAACTGCCCATTGAGTAATTAGGAAAATAGAGGTGATCTATCTATGGGAACATATGCGCTCTTTGGTGCTGATGGGATGTTGCTGCAATCACAACCTGCATTCTTTTCTGTTCTATTGTGTGCAGGTAATCATGTCCGTGCTGTGATTCATGCTGTAGCTGTTTATTAATTGTGAGGCAATGGTGCATTTAAACTGTATGGCAGATTAATGTGTGGATTACTGGCTTGGGTGGCAGCAAGATGTGGATTTTTAAAGTGGCATTACTGTTGGGACTCTAACTTTAATGTTTGTACAGGACACATCCAAGCATATATTATTATTATTATTATTATTATAATACAGTGTGTAATGTACTTTGTACAGTAATTGATTAATGGAGTCCCGATTCCTTGTAGTAGCTTCAAGGTCAATTAACTTTGTCTTATTAGTATGTTTTTTATATTTCACAGTAAACTGTTTTAACTGTCTGCATATTTTCTCTGTGTTGCTTTGTCTTGTTTTAATATGCTAGGTTGCAATCCGGCTACAGATGGGATCAATAAAGTATCCGTTTCTTGGCTCTATTTATATTCAACAACTGATAAAACATAATGACCTTCAACTTACATCCCCTCAGATTCTGCTGAATCTGTGATTATACTTCTTCTGTACCGTAGTGTCTGAATGCGTTGAGCCTCTTCTTTGCTCAGCTGGTTGAGCTCCTTCAGTCTCTGCGTCATCATCTTATCCAGCCAGGCTTTCCTGTACCAAGCCAGTAATCATCAAATGAAGCAAAATGCACGCTCAATTAACCATTGCACAGAAATACTCATAATCCTCATCTCTAAAACCAGGTGGCTAGCCCCACCGATTAATTGGAAAGCACAATCGTAGTAATTGAGATTTGATTAAACAGAGACATGTGTGGAATACTCAATCAATGTGTCGCTTAGAACCACAGAAAACAGGCCAACTATTAATCACTCACACAGAGAAATGGCCTCAATCTAGCCGCCACCTAGATTCATTTATCGGAAAGAATTAACTTTGAATTAGGATCAGAGTATTGCCTGTGGCTCTCGGCAAGTGGGGTCCGACACAGAGGTTAGAAATAACTCCATGAATACAGAAGAAGGACTCATTAAGATTCCATTCATATCGACTGTTTTTTCCCCTCTTGCTAGGACATACGATCTGGTGTACAGTATGTACGCAGATCTGCAGTATAAATTACGACCCCCTCTAAATCACCAATCTGAGGAACTATAACATTTCATCATGAAATATCTGATAAATAGAAGAGATTAGAAGCTGGATATGATTTGTAGGAGACCTTAATGCTTCATTCTGAGCTTGTGTCTTCTTTTCGGAGCTCAGGGCCGGCTCTGCTTCACCGTTCACCGCCTGCCGAGGAGGGCTGGACGAGGGCTTCATGGGAGAAAAGAGACATCGAGGCTCTGGTCTTCTCCTTTGAGGGGATCTGTTGACATATTAGGAGAGGGATACAAAATATATATAAAAATATATATATATTTTATTTTATTTTATTTTTTTTGCGCTGTACTTTACAATTACATAATCCATTAATATTGTTTGGATACTGATTTTGGAAAGGCCTCAAATTACACAGAGAATGAAAGCCATTAGTCCAGCAACTTAGTATTCCAGTTTTATGATGAAACCGGCTCACATCCACCTTCTGGCTGAAAACTGAACAGCTCTTTAAGTGGTCCCTCCGGGCCCCTTACATTTCTAATAATTAATACATTAATTCACAACGCATTAATATATTCATACTGGAAGACTGTTACCATTAGAGCTCCAGACTTTAAGATACATAACATAGACAACAGTACAATCATAGTTATATAATGACTTCAGTCAGCCAGTGTGCAATGAGAGCAAAAGCATTGGTGAACAATAATAGCTTATGAATTATGTTATTTAAATGAACACATCATGAGTTGTTCTCACCGCTGTGGAGGAGGGGAGTGAGGCGATGTGGGTATCCAGGGCACAGAGCGCTCTTTTTGAGGGAGCTGGTTCACTCTGAGCTGAGAGGAGACTGTAGGCTGCTGGAAACCTGCTTCTTGCATCTGATTACACTACGGCAAACAAATATATACACAAAATATATGTTAAGATTGTTTACGTGATCCTCACATTGTTTGAATCTTTGAAGTGACCTCACGCCTTCATACACCTTCTTCACGCTGGGTTTTAATGAAAATCACACTGCTTCTAATATACTACAAAGCACTTCCTGTGTGCTACAACACATCTAATTCAGTATTGAGCTTTGTAGAAGTAAAGCCAGCACCTTAATTCTAATGCCAGCCTTGCTTCTCCCAGAGTGTAGAGCCCCTCCTTTTCTGCAGGCGGTGTTTGTCTGAGGTCGTCCCTGCAGCTCTCTCTGGGCGAGGCTCTGCAGGCCAGCCCTGAGCACCTCTCGTCTGTTCAGGAGCTGGTGAGGAGCAGCTTTGGGCTTCTGTGAGGCCATTCTCCTACCTGAAAATGAAACGTGGCTTGTGAGCTTAACTTATTGTATGCCATGTAAACAGAAATGAAGGAATAGCTTCGGCTTCTTCATCACTATTAAACATAAGTAAATCAGCTTGGAACAAAGGCATGACACAACACAACACCTCCAATTAAGCAATTAGCGAACACTCTTGACAACCAGTTGGATCACTAAGCTCATTGTAGGTGTTTGCGTCATCTCTTCCACAGGATGCCGCTCAGCCCAACAGGAGCCAGCGGGAGTTAACTGCTCATAAGACGAAGCAGTGGGGGACCAACAGCCAGAGTCCTGCACTTTAAAGCCTGCTGCAGCCGTTTAAGCACAGCGAGAGGCCCAAACACAACCGCATAAAAGCCCTGAGGTGACTTCCAGACACTCTGGAGACTTAACGGTTTGTCATTCATCAAAAGGCATACACAGAATTCACTTTCTGGCCAGTTTTCAGCAGGAAATTATGAAGGGAAATACTGCATTTATATAAGATACATGGGGTTTGTAAATCATGTTGAAAAGTACTGTTGCTGAGGGTGGAAAATTAAAAAACGGAGTAATAAATGACTCAAAGTTACACATGTTCAAATGGCTAACTAAAGAGAAGTAAACGCTTTTTTAACACGATAACGAAGTCCAGGCAAAAGAGCACTCACCTCGGACTGCTCTTTTGGGATTTGCTGGTTTGCGAGGACCTCGAACAGTTGAGGTGCTGGGACCCTTGGGTGCACTTGTAGGCGACGTGCTGTGATGAGGAGACTTCCTGTGTAGAGGACGTGCTTGGGCCTGCATCTTTTCGAGCAGCTCTTGCTTATGGAGGGCAGAATCCAACGTCTAAGCAGAATAGAGTGACAAGACATAAAAACAATGCCTCCATAACATACACTGCATTTGTAGACACAACATAAAATATCAATTAATAAAACCCGTTAGAAAAAACAACAAGATTTGTTCAATTTACCAATCTTTAAAAGAAAAAAAAATATACTATAAACCACGAGCCACGTGCAGTGCATTCATAAAGTATAAGGAGGAAATGACAAACAGTTAGTTTGTGTTCGGTAAGCACTTTGAAACGCCTAGCTGATGAAATGTGCCTTGCCATCAGTGAGTGAAACACATTCAGATGACTGACTTCAGGGTACTGGTAGCAACTCATTCAACAAAACATTATTTTGGTTGATTATTGTTCTATAATGTTCAAACATTGGGTGACTTTGTATAAAAATAGTCCTGCATACAACAGCTGTTACATTTCAAACCTGCTGTGCTAGAATGGTGCCAAAACAACATCTGTATTATGGTCCAAATACTTTCAGATTTGTACTTTATGCTCCTCACCTCTAGTTTCTGCAGGATGTCGAAGGCCGTCTCTGAACCCTGCTCTGCTTCAACCTTAGCTGAGCACAGAGAGAGCTGGCGAATCAGCTGGCTCAGCTCTTTGTAATAAGCGGGTACCTTGCCGTGAGAGAGATCTGAAAGCTGGTTGACAACAGACTGCAAGACCCTGAGTGTCCCACGGTGCGCAGCTGCAAGCCTGTTTACTGTCGTGGCCTGAAAGAAGAAAAGGAAGTGAATCAGATAGCTCCATGATGTTTGCTGAGCTTTCAAAACTATATGAAATCTCCTTTTAGTAAAAACAATATTAATTTAAAGAATTATAGAATGTGGTAAAATACTGCCACATGAAACTGTTATTTGAGCATCATGTATATAACAAACAGCTTGGTCTTTCGCTTAATGACCACTCATTGGTGTGTTCATTTACATAAATGGCATGAAGAACATTTATCTTTTGAGGGTGTTCTTAATGTTTTATCATCATCAACAAATAAATGAGCTCTAAAAGAGCAGTAAACGTGTGACAATGCTGAAGACATACCTTTTTGGTGTCCCACATGTTCTGGCTTCGTAGTTTCTCCACATCTTCCTGTATCTCTTTGACCTTTTAAATAGCGGTTTTGGGGAACAGTGTTTATAGATGGAGAGCAAATTAAAAAGTCCATGAAGGTTTATTTCAATTACGTGTGGTAGAGGTTTAAATACCTGCTGCTGGAGAACATAGATGAGACGTGCTGAGCGGCCTGCCTGCTTCTGCCTGCGCATCTCCAACTTGTTTTGCTCTTCGGGCTCCAGTGGCTCCTCTATTTCCCCCCCTGTTTAAATAGCACTGTTCATCAGTCATGTAATGTCATAATGAAAAGAGTGCTGATTTTGGTGGGTACAAAAATGTGATTACTTTTGTGAAATCATTTCATCAACACAAGCCTAATGTAACAAGCTGATTTTTTGTGGTTTACCTCTGTTGGAGAGCGCTTCTACTTTCTGAATATACACGTCCAGCTCATTTTGCAGCTTGTCAATCTCCTGGCTTAAAGGTGCACGTTTGCCTCCTTCAAATTGCCTGGGGCCGGGGTCTCTGGTTGGAGGTGACTGGCCAATCCGAGACATGGCACCAATGGGACGCTTCTGGGGTTTGTTTGCTGACAATTTGGCTCCAAATCGGGTTGAGTTCTTTTTTGGACTGGAGGTCTTAAACTTGGCCTTATTCGGAGTGGCGGTAAGCTCCTATAGAGAGAGGAGAAGACTCATTTACTGAACAAAACAGCAATAATTCTTTAAAAGTAAAATGAACCAGTAAACTATTCATTATACAATGTGAGCCATTCATCTACATCACTTACCTGGAGCAGCTCTACATCACTTGTTTCATGGACGGAGGCCTCCTGCGAGGGTTTGGCAGGGGATTTTGTCAGTGACTCAAGGCGCCTTCTTCTCATATCTCGCTTGGCCAGCCGCACCGCAGCCCGCAGTCTCTCCTCTGACAGAGTGGTGAAGCTGATGGAGCTTATGGCGCTTTCCACGTTCTCACGCTCCTCTGACGGCGGCGGCAGCAGCAGCCTCTCTATCACGATGGGGGCTGGCGGGTATACATGGGTGGCACGGTTGCTGGTACTTGCAGGGAAGGCTTCATTGAACAGGAGCTGTGGTGTGGAAGATACCAATCTCTTAATGCGCCTTGTATGTGATACAAACAGCCATTGTCACACAATTTATACTTAGAAGTCAAACATATAAAGAATATGGATCCAGGAGAATGTCGAGCAGCTTCCAGGTGTGAACCATAGACTGGTGTCAAGTCAACAGATGGAACCTGAGCCACAAAACCTCCTCTCCACCTGGCTTTTCACGCCCCTTTGTCAGCAAGTATTTCTGTCTTTCACTTAATTTGAACCCTTTCACCAATTTGTTTAGTGCCATTAGCTAAATCCAATCCAATAAATGCAATCGAAATGATCTGCATTGTGCTATACTGAGAGGTGATTCTAATATCTACTCTATCCACACCTATATACTGTAGGTGGACAAAATATTAGAAATACCTCTTTGTAAAAACGCAATACAATCCAACAGCACTACACACCATAGTCCCATTGATGATCATATATTGTTAACTTCAATCAAAACTCTCTCTCTAGATGAGTTTCTACAAAACATTACACTATTTACTGCAGCGCTGTTGTATCAGACTGAACTCGATTCAGCTAACGGCAGTTGTAGCAAATGAACTTGTCGTTTACCTTGGTTTGGGACATGGCAGTAGTTAAACCGCTGCGGTTGTGAACGCTTCGGGTTGGACCTGAAACAACCCAGGTTCTCCCTCGACTCTGCTGTCCTTCAGAAGTCGTGGGGCCACTCTGCAGGAACTGTGCAGTCATTACAGTGAGAACAACCGCCGAGCTCTGTCAGAAATAGCTAACAATACTTAATGCAAATGAGTTAGCATTAGCAAGCTAACTACGCTTTTGAATTCAAGTTTGCAAACATTAAATTAATCCCAACATAATCCATTCGACCATCGCTTGTATTGACTTTTTCAGTTTATACAGAAATTATAAATTAACTATGCACCTAACTAACGCTAACTGGAAGTAAACTAAAATATGGAACATGGTTAACTGTTTAAATTTTAATCCAAGCTTGTCAAGTGTTTGAAACGCCGCCATGACAATAACAGAAAGCAGCCGAACGGAAGTTCTTTTTTTCTCTTTTTTCTTTAACAAGTACGGATCGTCAGAGAAGTCAAACATCAACGCAACCGCATTTAAAAAAAAATGTTCTGTTATAAAATATGCACCCTTCTGCGATACTTTGTGAATGTATTCAATATTACGTAATATTATTATTTAAAATGTAAAATATCTCCACGACAAAAAGGACAACTTAAAAATGCTGAATAAAACTTAGGGACGTGGTCCCTTTAAGAACTTTTGCACATACCGGAAGTGGTACTGTCACCTTTTGAGTATTTCTCTCAGGTCCAGTGTTCAGAGGAGTAATATTTCTGATAATACTTGTTAGTGCTTCGTATTAGGTAGTGCATTTTCACGCGAACTCGGTCTAAACGATGGCCCACTACGAAGAAATGGCCGTGCACGGATATGATGACTTCTGTCAGGCTGTATCTGAGAGAAAGGGAAAGGACATTTTTGTGTATTTCTCTGGTAATAAAGACGCCCAAGGAAAGAGCTGGTGCCCCGACTGTGTGACAGGTAATGTCATATATCGTCTACCTAGATTAAACCTGTATAATATAGCCAATAGATGTGTGTAAGTTACTTTCATTTTGAGTAGACTTGAAATGTATGATCATCTATAACCGTATGGGACAAGCTTGTCTGGTCGTGAGACGTTCGTAACCTGTATGTCTTTCATTGATCTTTACTTACATTTGGTGCATTGTTCCTTTCAGCGGAGCCCGTTGTAAGAGGACAGATGACTCATCTTCCTGAGGGCTCTGTCTTCATCTACTGTCAAGTGGGAGAAAGGGCCTAGTCAGTATTTTACTTTTCTATCTTTAATGAAACACTGTGCTGTCACAAGACAGTGTGAGCTGCGACTAACACTTAAAACGGTCAGTTGAATCATCTGCTCTAATGAAATATGATAAATAATGGCCACTACAGGTAATAAGAGCTCAGCAACGTAACATCTCCAAAAACTGTTGATTTACAGTTCGACCAACAGCCGAATACTCAAATAGATTTGATAGAACATGATTTTGAAACAGTATAAAATGGAAAGACAGGTAATTCTTCTTAGTTTATGAAGCCAATAACAAGTATGTATACCTGCTAAAGTACAAAAAAAAGTATGTGATCAACAAAATATAAATTTAAACATTTTCTGTTGTTCAACTGTCAATTTGAGCAACTAATGGTTTCAGAATTACATTTTGCAATTGCATTTCATAAATTCATATTTTAGGGAACTGATACAAACTGTAGAGCCAGTTACAGTGAGCTCAGTTGTGAAATATTACATTTCTAGACAGCCAGCAAGTATTTTGTGTCACGAGGATGAATCTGATGCTTAGAAATAATTAAATAAATCTAATAGAGTAATGGTAGCCCGAGAGAAAACATTGAGCTTTTTCTAGTCAAGACAGAAGTATTTCTTTAAGAAACTTCAATATCTTTTAATTAAGACTACTTTGACATTGTGATATTTGCATCCATTCAGTCATAAATCTGTATTACATGTTGACCATCTGCATGCAAACAATGGATTTGATCAGGCCATAATGCCACTAGACACATATACGATAGACTATTGTCTGTAAAAGACAAAAAATGATTTCTGTTCTATGGTATGCTGTATAAATGTATAATATACATTAGAGCACCAAATAATGCTTATTCATAGATTTCATAATACTTCACTTCTCCAAAAAATGACAGATTTCTGAAAATGCATTTTCATGTTTGTCACGACCTGGGAACTGTCAAAATGCTGGAAAGCTGAAAGTCCTCTTCAGCCTTCCCGTGTCTGCTCTCTCAGATGTGGTCCTGATGAATTATATCAGCTGCCTAATAATGTTTTTGTTCATGCTTCAGTTGGAAGGATTCAAATAATGACTTCAAGAAGGCGCTGAAGTTGAGTGGAGTTCCCACTCTGCTGCGATATGGCACGGTAAGAACAATTTGCCTCACTATCATATTGACATGATTAGACTAAAATGAGTTTTACTGTAAATCTTTTGCAGAAAAATCCATAGAAATGAGATAATAAGAGACAATATTCAGGTATCATCCAGTCTCATATAAAATGTTGCATATGAAAAAGCACAATCTTATAATATTGCTATAGCTAGAGTGGTCTAACGAGTGTATTTATCTCCCTCCCCCCCTGTAATCCTGTTTCAGCCTCAGAAGTTGGTGGAGGAAGAATGCTTCAAATCAGAGCTGGTGCGGATGATGTTCACTGAGGACTGAGGGATCCTGCGCTGTTCACATCCGCCATTTCATCATTTCTTCAATGTTAAACAGTAAATTCACCACCATTGAATTCCAGCGTTATTGACAACCATGCACAACGTTCATCTCCTTCTGCAATGTGATGCAAATCTGCAACTGTGTAAGTTTACTACCAAGATAATGAGCATCCAACGTAAGACACAGCTACTCAATTAATCCAGCACTTGAACGTCTGCAAAGAGAAACACGAAGAACGGATGTAACTCTAATAGTGATTCTTCTTGGGCTGCTTTATGTGCAATCACTCAATTGTTATTTGTTATTTGAGTTTGATATGTTTCTTCAAATGTAACGTTAATCTAAAACACTAGTTGATTACATTTATAAAAAAAATCATTGTGACCATTTTTATGTGATTATTTGTGTTGCCTTGCAGTAAGAATCAAATAAAGTAACACTTGATGTTGAACATGTGTAGCAGAAGAAACCATTCTTTGTAGCGATGACTCCGATGAAGGCTTAAAATGTGCCTGTCTCACGACGATGTTTTTATTGGATGATTTCTGTTCTTGGGGATATTGACATTTGAACAAAGTTTTTATTTAAACTACAAGTGTTTTTCACCATTTTAAGACTATTTTCCTCCTCCATGCACCTTGGAAGTAGGTGAAGTTTTGCCAGAAATAAATGTACTCCACTTAGTTTGTTGCAGCCCGGGTAGCTTCCTGTTGTGGGCACTAGGTGGCAGCATATCCTTAGGAATAGAGTGTAGTTTACCCCAACCTTAATCTTTTTTCAATTAGCAGATTTTCATCTAGAGTTGCCTAATGAAACTTGTTAAATAATCAAATCCTAAGCACCTAATACAAGATAATGTAAATTGAATGATGTAATGTAAATAAAACATAAAATCCAACTGCTTTTAATCTGAAATTTACACAAGTGTGAGTAAACGCAACATGTATCAGGATTAAGCTGCATTTTCTATTCTAAACACATAAAAAAAAAACTTAAGAGTATAGCCATAAAGTGCCATATTTGTACCAGATGCCGTGATTAAAGTCTCTGCTATGCGGGGGGCGGGGGGCGCGCAACCGCTGTTGCAGTCAGGGCGATTTAAGCGGAGCGCATTCCTGCACAGCGCTCACACCGGAGGACGAGCCGCGGTGAGACACACACTTACACCGCAGCGCCTCAACCGGGGCCAGGAGCTCACCTAAAACCTCAGATTGGAGGTGGAGGAAGTACCGGGTGTCGCTCGAACACGAGCGTTTTACACGCACAGCAGCAGCCTCGGCTGAGGGGTAACGTTGTGCGTTCGAGGACCGTGCGCCGCGATGTCGGAGTTTCTGGTGAGTCTGCTCGGGGAGCGGCTCGTAAACAGCGAGAAAGCCGAGGTGGACGTGCAGTCGCTGGGCGCCAAGCTGTCCCTGGTCGGTCTCTTCTTCGGATGCAGCCTGAACGCCCCGTGCAAGCAGTTCAACGGCAGCCTGTCCGAGTTTTACAGCAGGTTCAAAAAGGCGTCGGAACACAAGGACAAATTGGAAGTCGTCTTCATCTCGTCCGATCAGGACCAGATACACTGGCAAGACTTTTTGCAGGAGATGCCGTGGCCCGCGTTACCTTTCAAAGACCGACACAAAAAGGTAAGATTGGGCTGTGGTGACGAAGAGGAACACCGGCAAAATCAGTGCTTATTCTCCGAAGAGGGTTTAGTGGGAATGAGTGGGAAAGCCCCTGTTGGCCATGTCTGCTTCTTCTGTCTGTGCACAGGTGCACAAGGTTTATGTGGGTCCTTAGATTAGTTTCCTTGCATCATTAACGTTTTTTTTAAAAATCAGATTCCATCAAATCTGACTTTAATTATATGGGCTTCTGTCATCTTATAATAAACCAAATAAATATAGTTATTGGAAACACACACAAACATAATTCAGAAAATCTAATGTTGTAAAGCCAGGGGTTAAAAAAAAAAGGATCTGCGAAATGTCATCAGTGTTTGCAAAGACTTATGAGCAATTTAACGAGGAATATTTTTTAAAAAAACATTATATTTCACCCTTTAAATAATAACACTTGCAGCTCTAAATAAACCATTTGTCCATATTGTTCCTGACTTCATTTTTTATCAAGATAATCTAAATGTGGCAGACCAGACATTCCTAACTTATTATCAGGAGAGGAAACGGAAAGAAAGGCTAAACATCTCTCTCCACTGACTAACGTTCCTGTTCAAGGAATGGTTATTGGCACATAATATTTCAGCCAAACGGCTCAGAGCACTGTTATTTTGGGATATATCTTATTATCCGTGTGCCCAGTGATGGCCTTCTATTTTTGCCATCATCTCATCTATATCTTTTACTGGTTTCTGGATTATTATACAACAATGCAGTGCTTGGAAGATTTCTAGTTAATTCTTTTGATTTGTCCCATGCATTAAGTATATTTAAATCATGAGGCAGCTTGGATTTTATTTCTGTAATATTTATTTTGAAAATGTAGTGTAAATACTATAGCTTTACTCTGGAAATAAACAAAGAAAATGTATATATATTTTTAGGTTGTCACTATATTATCAAATTGCATCATTTATATCATCATACATTTGACTCTAATCTCACATTTTGATGAATTTTTAAGATTCATATATATATATATATATATATATATAATATATATATGTGTGTGTGTGTGTGTGTACATGTAAAAAAAGATTGCCAGTTTCTTTTGTTGATAGCTAAACCTTCTCCATAAAAACAGAAAATCACCCACATACATCTTGTGTATGAATTTTGCAAAATATTTAAAAAATATATATATATGGTAGAGGTTTCCTTTACCAGTTAGTAAGTGATATTTGCAGCTGCATAAATGTGAGATCTTTTCAAATGATAGGAAGGACTTCCATGTTACATGCATTGTGTGTGTGTGTGTGTGTGTGTGTGTGTGTGTGTGTGTGTGTGTGTGTGTGTGTGCTACAGGACATATGTGGGCCATCCGTGTTGTGTTTGCAGCACAGGTCTCTTTCACTAAATCTAAATGTAGGTGCAGACGAGGCACGAACAAAGATCCGCTGGTCAGTTTGGTTTTGCATCGTAACAGCCATTCATGTCGGTGAATGCTGATTTTTGTTTGCAAATTAAAATGGATTGCTATGGATTCAAATGTTCGAGGATTTTGACCCTTTTTGCTTTTTAAGATAAGACTTGATTATACTTTTCGGAGAAAATGTACCTCTCTTATGTCATACAATATGTGTTACAAACCATAGTGGCCTAAAAATGTTTAGTAGCCCACATCTTGTCTTCAACACCATCTGTATTCTGTCAGAAAGGATGCATGTTTATCAGACTTGCCACGTTTAGCCATTTCAACCCTAACCGCTCTTTGTGTCGGTGAGGCATGACTTGGACTGCATCATTGTCTTGTAAATTCTTTCAGATTGCCACTGATGATTTCCGTTACACCTCATAATGAAGTCCAGGCATGAATGAGGCTCACAGATGACAGGGGAGCGAGAGGGGGGGGTTGTCTTGTTGGCGTCTGGGGCGGAGCACGTCCATCGCTACAGTGCAGCGTTATTGTGTGTGGTTTAAACCGCTCCTGGAGAATGTCTGTGGCATCAACATAACCATTGTTCATGATCTTGTTGGTGGTCTATTGGCTGCCTCGGCCTTATGACAATACAGCAGCACAGTTGTGGATCGGTGTTTTGCAGAGGCCTGCAGTTTTGGTCCAGTCTGGTCTTCATCCAACCTCTCGGCCTATTCTCTCTCTCATCATTGTAACAACAGCAGCAGAAACCCGTGTGAGCATCGGCAGCTTTCGTACAAGAACACTATTTTATAAATGTGAGAGGCGTGCAGAGCGTGTTGTTACCCCTCATCATCTGCTAGTTCATGTATGATTTATGCATGTTGGCATTTCAATTATATTTTAATGGAACATGCATGTATGCTGGGATCTGTGCATTAATTTAAACTGCAGCATTTCCTTTTTTCCCCCCTCTGGGTATTGTAGGTTTGATTAGTTGTAGAGCTGCAACAATTAGTCGATCAACAGAAAAATGTGATGATTCGATTCATTTCCTTGGCATTTATGATGGTGAAGTTAATATCTTTGGGTTTTGGACTGTTGCTGGAATAAAACAAGCAATGAATCGGCTAATCAAAACGTATGAATGTAATGAACATAATTGTCAGTCGCAGCCCTAATTAATTGCCCATTGTGTGTGGATTTATGTGTCTTGGTGGAACACAAGGTGGTCAACAAAAATGCACACATTTTTTTCTTTTGGTCTTATAATTAGATGTGTCTACTTCACGTGTGAGATTCATATTTTGCAAATAAGGAAGTGTGAAGTCAGCTGGTGATGAGATCGGACAACAGAGTCTCTCATTTGGCTCCGAGTAACAGACGAAGACGGAGAGAGCTGAAGATGTCATGTCATGTCTGCATGTGAACTTCACAGAAAGCGATACGTGATGTTGACTCAGTGGAGGGCCGTGTTGATGTTGCTGGTCTGCAGACTAAGTGGCCCTCTCACCTCTCGTCTCGGGCTCTATTTGACTTGGTGCAAGCCGAGCTCATCCCCCCTGAAGGGTGCACTTTCTCTTTCAGAGCCTCGGCGCCCACCTGAGAATCTCCGACTGCACCTCCACTCCTCCTCCTCACCCATCTGCCCTGTACTGACTTGGCTATATCTCACTGGAGGCTGTCCTCTGTCCTTTTTACTCGGGAGGCCTTCCTGATGCAGACAGTGTGTATTTAATCAAGAGGGGGGTAATATTCTTGATAAAATACAGAGAGAAAGGAAAATCTGGTGTTGTTAACTTAAAGGTCAGTTATAGAGTGGAACATAGTTGGTTAGTAGTCTTTCTTATTTGATATTTTGCATTCAGAAGGTGGTGTCACTCTTAAAGCCAGGCAGACCACAAAGTCAGAACCCTGTTTCTGAACAGCATAGAGGATAGTGTTTGTCTCCGGGAATCCTCCAATGGCATGTTCTCCCCGAGTGGACGTCTGCTTGTTGTCCAGGTTCGGCCAGCTGTCTGGCAGTATTGGCTTGCTGGCAATGCCTTACATGGACTTGTGCAGCAGGAGGGAGAGAGTTCTATGTAAATCAATTAAAGCCTTGGCCAACGCGATGTGAAAACCCAACTTGACCAAAGCGGGGAGAACAAGCTGAGACGCTGCCAGAGCTGCTCCTGCAGGGGGGGAGGGGGGGAGGATCTCATCGCGGTGAGAGAAAGGCCTCTTGTTCAAGTCCTCCTGGTCGGGGGTTCTGCTCGGTAGCCGGCCCCCAGAGGCAGGACGGCCGCTCACTCGGCCCACAGCCAGGGGCTAAGGGTGCAAGGGGCTTCGGAGAGGGGCTGAGGACGTCTTTCATCAATAGGTCACTGATCTGCTGAAAGCTGCAGAGCACCCAGCCCATTATAGCTCCTTGCACTGTGACAGCAGAAACGGCTTGAAAAGGGGGCCCAGACTGTTTAATCTGCAGGTGGTAATTCCCTCTTCTTGATCCGTCCATGTTGCTGTTGGCCCGTACCGTTAGATGTTTTCTTCTTCCACTCGCACAGTGTGGGTTAATAACGTCAACAGAATGTGACATTTTTGAGGTTTCTCTGATGTGGAACATCTGTAATTGAGAGCTTTTAGAAATGTAATTGTAGGAGAGGATGTATTCGTCACCAGTTTCTGCTCGGCATGCCTGTGCTGCAGCCCAGGGGAGCAGACATCAGCCAGATATCAAACTGAGGTCTTTAAGATCGCCAGGTTGGTAGTAGAGGTGTTTCATCACGATACGGTATTATATTGATTCTCTGGACATGGTTACAATATTTGTTTATTACAAAATCTGCAATGATGCAATTTTGAGTCAATTCAGGGGCCTGCGATCGATTTGAGACGATATCATGTGTCCATTTAACACACTCGGTTACATTTCAACTCACAAAAAGCAACTAAAATATGATTTTGCTCTGTAGGTAGGAGGTGCGCGTGGAAGGAAATGGTGACGCAGACGTGCATATCTTGATGATAGGTATCGATGTTTTCTCTGTACATCGATAATATTGGATGGTTGACCACTGAATCGATATATATCGATCCAGATCGATGCATTGTTACACAGTAGGAAGGTAGCAAAAAAAAATCTACATTTCTGCCAGACATTTGAAAGTAAAATGAATATATTATTGTAAAAACATGCAGAATTCATTAGATCCAAAGACAGTGACTTTCCATTGGGAAGGTTAACTAAGGGTGATGTAGGCGGATGCAGACTCAAACATGCAGTAGACGAGGGTGGCCTAACGTGGCCTACTCCTCCGCATAAAGCTGTGAACCTGAAACAGTGACGCTCTCTTTTAGATTCCTAACTCTGATCAAAGTACAGAAGCTTTAAGTAGCCTGGTCTGAAGTTGGCTCTGGGACTAATTGGAGAATAAGATAATCCTTTCTTCAAGGTGTTTGACCCTGGCAGATAAGATGACTATAATGAAAAAGAACACCTAACGTAAAGTTTCATGTTGTTTAATTACATTTTAAAGATTAGTAACCCCCCCCCCCACCCCAGAAACGTGTAATCAGCACTTAATTATATTTACTTACTATTAACTTACAATGTATTTTTAACAACATG